GACAGAAGTTATAGAGAATCAAGCAAAAACGAAGCTTGATTAGTTGAAGAGGCACCAGATTAGGAAGTGAAAACAAGCCTTGAAAGACAGAAGTTATAAATAATCAAGCAAAAGCAAAGCCTGATCAATTGAAGAGGCACCAGATGAGGAAGCAAAAGCAAGCCTTACTAAATAAGTGAAAGGAGAGGAAGCAAGAAAAGAAAAAGTGACAGGCTTTGACGCACGCTAGGATCATGTAAGATAACATCATTTACTAGATATTTCTAATCTAACCCCTTAGTCTTAGCTCAGCTTAATCAAGAGTTGCACTCTTTGTAAGACTTGCTATTCTTTTTTTGGCAGTCTTAGGAGATATAGGAAGTCCATTCTCCTTCAGACCCTGTAACTCCTCATTTAACATTCGGGAAGCAATTGAAACTCGTTATCTTGTTTTTAATTTGGAACCCTCCCTACTCTAGAGCTCAACAATTAGAAATCGAGTCAAACCAAAGACAAAGTAGGCAGAGGATCTAGAGGTAGAACTGTGAGATCAAAGAAAGAATGTCTTCCTCACAAAGCATAAGGAAAAGCGCTCTAGCTAGGCAGATAGCTAGGAAAAGGAGAGACGGATATTAGGGCACTCCAACCTTACTTATTGAATTCCTTCCATATCTATATTAGGGCACTCGAGCGTCTTTCATTCCCTCTTAGTCTCTTTTAATCTAATTAAAGATTCAGAAGTTCCACAAGTATAGTACCGAAAAACTTCACAAAAGGAGAGTTATAAGAAAAAGGTAATGGGGAGCCAAGAGTGAAGATAGCAGGCGAAATAGAAAGGTTTAAGGGCCTCCAATGCCTCTAAATTCTAAGCAGAAAGGCTTGACTCGGGTCGAATCATGAATAAAATCTTGAACCTCTATCATTTTTCTGTCTTCGAGTCTTGCTTGGTGTCATTTTCTCCCAAAAATGTGATGAGTTTCAGTGTTGTTTGAGGGACAAATCCTCCCTTGCGACTGCTTTACTCACATAGTTGCACAAACCCACTATGTTGGGTATTCTAAGAAATAATAAATGACAGTTATTGAAGGTTGCAAAGTAGTAACTACTTCTCATTCTCTTTCTGTAAAAGAGACCAATAATGAGAACCGGTCCAATGCTATCTCTTTTGCTTTCCTCTCCCTCACCCCTAAAAGATTTGGCCAAACTTTCGTTTTCATTCGGACCCTCATAGTCGAGCCAACAGGCAGTTACCTGGAACGAATGCTTGTTGGTCAAACTAAGACGCTACTAGGGAAGGCCTTCTTGAAGAAGATCTTGAATAATTCGAGTCTTTTGCCTTTTTGAATCCCTAGGGATTTCATGTTCAAATAAGGGTCGGCTTTCGAGGAGTCACTGAGCCTCTTTCTTTCATTTAATAAAAAGTAAGATAGGCTACCCCTTTACCCATCTTTGAGAACCAAGTTGAAACTTGACCCCTAGTCCTTTCAAGCGAGGACACATTGCTTGCTATTTCTCCTCTATTCAGATTGCTAGGGAATTCCCGACTCAGAAGTCAAGTAATAGACATAGACTGAAACAATGAAAGATACCCTTCAGGGGCAGCCCAAGGTAAATTGAGGCCCTAGGCAAAATTTCACATGGGCCCTATTAATATTTAGGGCATACACAATGTATGAGGCTCCCACCATTGTAGGGTTTGGGGAGGGACAGATGTACGCTGCCTTATCCCTGCAAGTAAAGAGGTTAACGACTCGAATCTGTAAGCTCCAAGTCACAATGAAATAACCTTACCGTTAAAATATTGATCAAGTTCTTGTATTTAATTTTTGATAATAAATCTTTCTCAATTAATAATATGGTTAGTTCATTCAATCTTAATTGATTGTAAATAAGATATTATCAATTTAAGTTTTGAGTAAGCAATTTAATGGGGCCCTCTAAAATTTGGACTTAATCAAATACAGAGTAATTTTAGATCTAACAAAATTAGATATTGATTTGAATTCTTAAAATTAAGATCATAATATCTATATCTATATCTATATCTATATATATATATATATATATATATATATATATATATATATATATATATATATATATATTAATATGTGTTAATTACAAAATGCCCCCTTGAACTTTGAGTCTTATTTCAATCAAGGCCCTCTGGTTTAAAATTAAAAAATTTTCCCCCTTCAAGTTCTAAAATTAACAAGTTGACTAATTAATTAGACAAAAATTTTAAAATTACTTTTGTACCCTTAGTCTTTATTCATGTCTATTTTTTTTCCTTTCTCTTTGTCGAATTGAGCCAAAATCTCCAACGCCACCATCCACAACCCACCACAACCACCAACCACTATAGTTGCCAACACAACTACCATCAACCCGCCCACAAACCACTATAGCCACCACCCAGCCACAATCACCGCAATTACCAACCACTGCAACTACCAACCACCGTAGCCATAATCAGCCAACTAACAAACTATTGTAGCCACAACCCAACCACCTAGTCACCCAACCACAAACCACCACAACCACCACCCAACTAACTTGCCAACAACCACCGCAACTACCAATGTAGCCACAAACCATCGTAGCAACTACCTAGCCACCCAAACCACAAGCCACCACTTAACCACCTATCGACAAAATCACCAGATTCACAGTGGAGGAGGACGGTTTCGGTGGGGTGGGTTTCGGTTTCAGTAAGTGGGGTTGGAAGGATTTGAATTTGGATTCAGTTGATGGGGAAGGATTAGGGAATTGAAGGAAAGGTGGAGGTGGGTTTTTGATTTCAATGGAGGGGTGGGAGGGATTTGGGTTTTGGTTCAATGAAGGGGGAGGAATTAGGGGGTTGAGGGAAAGGAGGGGGGTGGGTTTCAGTGGAGGGGGGGGGGGATTTGGGATTTTCACACAAGTTGGGTTTTTTTCTTTTTCTTTTCATTTTTGATTTTTATTTTTATACAAAAAATTAAAACATGGATATTTGTGGGTTTTTGATTAATTTAAGTCATTTGTAACATTGGTCAACTAATGGGAAAAATTAATTGAAAATTATTCAAACATTAAGGGGACAAATTGTTCAATTTTAGAACTTTAAGGGGAGCAAATTGTTCAATTTTGAACTAGAGGGCCCTAATTAAAATAAGACCCAAAGTTTAAGGGGACATTTTGTAATTATATATATATATATATATATATATATATATATATATATATATATATATATATAGGCCTACTATAATAAAGGGTAAATTTTTGGGGCTCTTTAAAATTTGGGTTTAATCAAGTAGAGAATAATTTTGGATCTAATAAAATTAGATATTAATTTGAACTCTTAAAAATTTTGGTCCTAAAATTTTTTGGATTATATCTAAAATAAAAATAATAATATAAAGGCCTACTGTACTGAAGGGGTAATTTTTTTGGGGGCCCTATATAATTTGGATTTAATCAAGTAGAAAGAAATTTTGAACCTAACAAAATTAAATATTGATTGAAACTCTTAAAATTTAGGCCCTAAAAATTTGGATCATATTTAAAATACCTAAAAAAAAAAAATAGATCTACTATACTAAAATAATTTTGGGGGACCTCTAAAATTTAGGGCCCTAGGCAAGCACCTTGGTTGCCTACGCCTAGGGCCGAAACTAATACCCCTACATTCACCCTATTTTAAAATTCATTTTTATACCAAAGCTTGACTCGTCCTGATTCAAGACATTCCAACGCTCTTTCAACCGCAACTGCTAGGCCTTCGATACACTTTGAGAGCAATAAAAGTCTATCTCTAACTCTACAAGGGCTTATGCAATTCATTTTTCACTAGGTGTAAAAAAGAAAGGACCAAATTAGATTATCGAAAGGAGGCGGAGAGTAGACAAAAAGGGATAACCGGAGAGGTATGCTAACTTTAAGAAAGAATGCATTATTACTAGATTAGGGGAAAGGAAAAAATAGAACAAGTACACTCAAAAGATAGGAAAGCGATTGGACTCAATGAAGGATAAGTTTGTTATAAATTAGTGTTAGGATTTTTTATCCTTTTAGATGTTTGGTAAATTTTTGCAATTTTTAAACTATTTTTCTTTGTAGTTACTTGAATTGTCGGATTTTGTCCTTTGAGCAATGCAATTTTGACCTACATATTTATTAGAACCCACAATGAATCCAATAACTGCGATAAATTAGGTTCAAATTAAATTATTATTGTCCTTTGTAGGCTCCATTCGAAGTCAAGTGAATTGGATTACTTGCTTCATCAATTAGGTAAGGGTTTGGGAAGTGTGAGCTTAAATGGGGCTAAGATTTTCTTAGCAACCTTTATATAGTAATACAGGATTACCTTTGTAAGGGCAGACAATCTTTAACACAATCCTCAATTCAACACGAAATAATTAAATATAAATTTAGCATTAACGGGCTCAAGTCACACTTAGGTTGATTGGCCAATATTATTCAAGAAATCCCAAAATTTTAATTATTGTTCAAAAATGTACAAAATTTCATTGGGAGTAAGCTCCATGCTTGATCCGCCCTGCTTTAATGATAAGATTTTGTCAAGTACCTATTTTCGCTTTCTCTCCTGTTGTGTGAGGTTGCAAATTGGTCATACAATGTCAAATCAGTGTATTAGTAGACATGTTGAATCACCAAGTCTATAACAGATGCTTGGCCAATGGCCAGTTCACATCACCATTGCTATTAAACAAAATCACAAATCATGCAACGCAGTATAAAGATAAACAGAGTGAGATCTAATTGAATATACTATTTTTTTAATTTTATTTAAGATAGATTACCCACCATGTATGATTGATGATCAACTTATAAATTGTGGGTCTATATGAATTAAAGGAGGGATTTGGATCGTGTGAAATGCAGTGTTGCACATGCTGCTACTCCCTCCGGTCTCGCAACATGAATTGATGAGAACCATTTATCTATCATAGTCAATCGCTTGTTGCACTTCAACTATATGGCGAGAGATGGGAGTTAATGGGGAAGTAAGATACTGGAATTGGGGCTCCACCCCACTTTGCTTTGCCTTTAGGCTTCTCCAATGAGGGCGCTGACACCGACAACTTCAGATTGTGCATGGTAGCATCGGATATTCGCGAAGAAGACGATGGAATGAAGCAACTGAAAAGGGCTGAGAGGAAAGCCATTGCTTAATTAGCTTGCTTTTGTCAACTAAATGGTCTTTATTCTGGACTTGGTGAAGGAGCTCTAGTGAATGTTGTGTTTAGTTGATCAGAGGAGTTATTAATGGCAAACCATTAATGGGTTATTATTTATAATGGCCGATTAGAAGCTGAAGTCTGTCAATTTGTTTGTAGCGCACGGGAAAAGACCAAATGCGTGTTTAGACTACTTTTCCTTTGTTTAACTTTATAGGATGGCTCCTACTGGTTTCCTATGAGATGGTTGTTGCTTTGACTCATCCTTGCACTTTCAACAGTAGGAAAAAGATGACACAGTGGTGGATGATGTAAACCTACAAATTATATAGGCCACAATTTTAATCACGCTCTTTTTAATTTATCATATCTTTAAAGACGTCTTTTTATTATCAAAAATATCACTGACACCATTTTTAGTTTATATTTAAATATCACTGACACCCCCTGACATTAAACCATCATTTATAACAAAAATAAATTATCTCAAATACCAAAATTGTCCTTACATAAACCCCAAATAATATTTCTACATAAAATTTGATTAAAATTTGAGCCGATTAAAATTTATTTTTCTACATATTAAAATTCGAGCTGATTAATTTTTTTTTCTATATACTAAAATTTGAGTCGATTAAAATTAAACTCAAGCTAATTAAATTTTATATTTATATGTATGAAAATTTGAGCTTAGTAAAATTCTTTTTACATGCTAGTAGATGTACACGTGCGTTGCACGTGGACTGTAGTTGATCGAAATTATTATTGATAATGGTTACTTATGGATGGCAGCACCAAAAATCTATATGTTGAAGGTTTTTGATGTATAATAAAACGCTATGATTTTGTTATGGAATCTATTGAAATTACCCTCGATTGAAGAAGGCTACCTTTTTTCTCTTGTGTTTGTTCATGAAAAGTTTTGTCACACTACCCGGTGGCAATTTTTGTTTAATGGCAAGACAAAACAAATAAAATAAATGAGATTAAGACTGAGTTTTATTGATGTTTTAATGCAAACACAAAAATGACACTGTTAAGCATAAGCAAATCTATAATGTTGGGCTGGAAAAAAATTTAGTAGTTAAACTAAAAACAATGTCCCCAACTGGCGTACTTGAGTTGATGGAAGTTTTCATCTAGAATATACAACTTGAAACTCTGCCTTTGGTTTACAATCCTTTCTGATTCAAAGGGTCAACAAACATAAATTTGGAATGATAAAAAAACAAAAGATCAACAAAGAGACATGGACTGGCGGAGTTTAGAAACTGCATTATGAACATCAATTATAGTTCTTTGCTACTTTTCATTGACATGGCCAATGATAAATAAAATAGCAAAGTAACAAAATTCACTTAAAGTAATGTATGACTGTAGTATTACATCCATAGGTAGGAACAAAAAACAGAAACCTTCTTAATGGAAATTATTCTAACAGACAAATGCAAAGGAGCCTCAATGAGTTTGGTAGTACAATGAATATTGAAAAAAGAGACACTTTGGGAGAAAGTTATTGAAATAGAGTGAAAGTAAGAGATAGATAGGATTAGAGGAGTGTTTTGAGTGAAATTTGCTAGAAAAGTCAATATACAAAAATAGACCCATAATCAATGTGTTGATTATAAGTCCCATTCCTAAGTAGGAGGGATTTGTTACCAACCTAAACAATTTCAGCAACCCTTCTGGAATGCCATTGTCCTTAGTAACACAGAGGACCTGCTTGAGCTTTTGTGCTTGCAGGAATCTTGTCATTTGAAGAATTTTCAAATAGCACCTCTATAGTTTTGCAGTTAGATATTGAAAAAAAAATCTTGACTCCATCAAGTTCTAACCAGTATCAAAAGAATTTTAAGTCAATTATGCAAACCAATGATATTAGTCCAAAAAATAAGCACTAAAATTCTACATCAAAATACCACAACATCAAACATTAACTTCTTCATGGTTAATTTTAATTAAATTTTATCTCGCCTTGCTTTTAATAAGTTGCAAGGTCTACCCACTGGGCCGTTGATAACATGTATAATAAACCTGTTACCTGAAAAAGTGAAAATTGGAAATGGAAAAATAGAGAACCTGTTACCTGATTATTTGAATCTTGCCCAGATATTCGTTGACTATAGAAGAATGGTTGGTAACATGACATTTAAAAGGTTCATAATCATGGAATGAACTGGGACAAAAAAAGTTCAAGAAGAGCTTGTTCTCTGGGATGCGCAACTGGAAAGGAGGCATTCCTTGCCAACATATATACTTCCATTTGTCACATTAATCCATTCATCAACTCTAATAATTGGTTTTGATTATCGTATTTCTTATTTCAATTCAAAGGTAAATAATCTACTCAAGTTTAAAGAACACATAAGAAAACAAAAACAGAAATCATACCCACTAAAAAAATAGCAAAATATTCACTGGTGACGAGGTAACTAAGTAGGACCAAGTAAGAATTTGCATGGTTAAATTGGTTAACAATTGAATTTCTCGGAGCTCATTAGCATTACAAACCTGATTCAATATATGACATATGTGTGTGTGTGTGTGTGTGTGTTGACTTAATGTAGCTATAGTGATCATTGAATTGACCATGAACCCAATTTAATATTGTGATCCATTCCTAATCCAATGAGATTAGATAATTAAGTTACCATATTGGATCAAGAAATTAAGTTTAGGTAGGACTTATCACAGAAGAGTTTGATAAAATCTTGGGAAAATATAGGATCATGTCTTTTTCTTGTGAAAATGTATATTAATCTGAAGTCTCGAATTAATGGTCATTCCCAAACCAGGCGACTGAAGGCCTTTGGTAAACTCGATCAGCCTTTTCTTAATGGCAAATAGTTGAAACTTGCACTTATATGTGAATAGAAAAATAAGCAAAGAGCATTAAAAAAAAAAGGATAGAAAAATAAGCAAAGCAAAAACCTGTGGGATAATAATCTTGTCCAAGGTGAAGGTTGATGTCCAGAACTTGTCCAAATTCAGGTTGTAGGACTTCCATAACTGTCATATAAATGTAAGTAATTCAATTTAGAAGTTAAAACATTGACGATTGAATACTAATATAGCTACAAGGAACATAAAATGAAGTATGTACTGCCAGTGTGAATGACACCAAGTGATAGAAAAATGAGATGTAGTTGAATAGGACTACATACATATATAAAAATAACTTGTACAAAAAAAAAAACAATAAGATTGCAGAACTGTTATCAAGGCTGCTAATCATGTATAGAAATATAGATGAGTTCAAAATCAAGTAAATACTCCATAACAAGAGAACCTCAGGTTATTGTCATGATAATATTGCAGAACTATTATCAAGGCTACTACCAAATTTTCTTTCTGGGTTGTACACGGAAGCTGCGAACTGGAGAGAACCACCGAAAACTGATGCCGGCCACATCACTAACAAGCAATCTATTTTTGCTTGATTTCTCCTTAAGCCCTAATGGTTCTCCTTAGTGCTTCTGATTCACTGCCTCTGAAAAGAGTCGAGTTATCCTACTAACTAATTTTGTCACGGGGAATTCGATCAAAAGGACCTGCCTTAAAAATAGTAACACATACCTCCCCAAAGTCTTCATAGCCAAGTTCCTCAATGGTTGGAACTTTTGAAATCTCATAATTTTCAACTTCTCCAAAAGGAGGAAGCCAAGACAGCGTGGTTGAAAGGAGGGATGCTGCCAAGAGGGTTGCCCAGCAAATTTCAAAAATGATTGATAACTCAAGGGCGGCTTTCCTCCATTCTTTTGAGACATTTATTATAGTAGAAGAGCATATTAACTCCCATTGTTATTATAGAATAAAACTTGAAATGCAAACAAATAACTCCAACCAATTATAATTTATCAACTATAGAAACAAAAGTATCTCCTAGTGACCCATGTGCAAATTCAATTATACCACAATTACCTTCTGTATGATGTCTGCAGGATTGAAGAGTGTATGAGTCACCGGAGAGAACACCTCAATTCCAGATACAGAGGCATGGTTCTATTGAACAATGGTTTGACTTCTTATTATCTTACAATCAATGTCCAAACAAAAGCATATCACTATGCTAATAACAATATAACATCTGAAAACCATTAAGGGAAAATGACTTCGAAGATGACTTTTACCTCAAGTTTAGCATCTAAGGCTTGAAGTGTAACCTACTGATGTGATTTGGGCTCAGTCCCTGCCAGCCTTGCCGGCGAATTTGGCCTTAGCCAATCAACATTTCTTTTTGCCTTTTAAGGTTGGAGGATTCGGGATTCTGATCTTTATCAAGTTTTCTCCTCAAACATCTGAGGTCTTCCTCACTCACCCTGCCATTTAATTTTTTGTTCAACTTGTATGCTTCAGCTAATTTTCTCTTGCATTCTTCTCTGATCGGTGAAGGTAGTGGTGTGCTCTTCTCTGATATGTGAAAACGCAGGACATAAAGAGATAAAGAGACGAATAGGGAAGCTGAAGAGGTGGGGCTGTGAATTTGCAAGAAAAAGAGAGAGGGAAAAATGGGAGAGAAAGTAGGAGAGAGGGAGAGGGTGTAACAATTGAGAAGTAAATCCCAGGGCAGTGAATTTGAGAAAGGAAATAGGGAGAAAGAGATAGAGACATGGATAAGGGAGATGAAGAGAAGCGGTTGTTAATTGCAGGAGAGAGAGAAAATAGGAGAAAGTGTAACGGCTATGTGAATAAGGGAGAGAGTGTAACGACTATGTGAATGTGATAGAGGAAATATGGAAACAAAGAGAGAAGAGGATACGAATGACATAATTAAAATGTTTGAGGATAAAATTAGAAAAAAAATATTTTTCACATATGCTGACTTTTTAAAGTATCAAAATATAAGTTAATTAAAATTTATATTTTTTTTATGTATTAAAAATCAGGTAGATTAAAATTTAATGTGAATTGATTAAAATTTAATTTGCGCATTGAATAGAATTTTAATCGATTCAAATATTAATACATAAAAAATATAATTTTTAATC